TCAGTATACATTTCCTCCAATCTTCACATATTTGGTGGAACATCTTTATCTCCTTGTGACATGTACTCCGAAGGCTTTTTTAAGAGCAGCTCCTGAGGTTATTTTACACTCCCTAATGTCACTCAGGTTGTGTGAGGTGCAAATTGACCTTGCATATCACTGTACATGGTGTTATGTTGCACTGCTGTCACTTTAGCGTGTACAAGCAGACATGCATGGGTTATGTTGAGGCACAGATAAGAAGGGAAGACTGCATGATGAAATCTTTTTTTAAAAGCACACCACAGAGCACACTATCTTCCAATCTGTCTGTTTATGTTAACAAAGGCTATATGTGTGTGTGAGTTGCATATATTCAGGATTTATAAACCCTTTTTTTTTGGTTCATCCCACCAGCTGCTAAAGGCCAGATTCTCTCCAGAGATTTCCAAATGAGTAATAAGTACACAATCGCACACTTAGTGCTGCAGGAATATGTGTTATAAAATGGACGTATATGCTTGGACAAGAGCTCCCAGCTGAAAGGGAAGCCAATGCAAATTCACAGTTTGTTTTGCCTCCTCTGACCTTTGGCTTTTCTGCCCGGCAAAATCCAACATGTGTGTTTCGAGTGACTTCTATGGCTGTGAAAAGCCTGAGGTATGTCATAAATTTGCATTTGTAGCATTTTCACAACATGTCAGATTGTTTGTGCTCTTTTAGGCATAAACCATAGCTGAAGAAATGTAGTCAACAGCAGTGGTTTTATGGGAATATATAATTTAACTTTTAAAAAAAGAGTAGATTTTTATATGGGGCCCCACAGAGGTTGAATACAAGCAGGATAAACAGTCAAATTAATCACAGATGTTTTTTATGGATACAAAATGTTCTAGTTGTAGCACCTTAACTGTAAATATTTTGTCTTTGATTTTTCTTTTCTTATGAGAGAAAAGTTGAATAATTTGGTTCTCATTTCAAATTGTATTAATCATAATGGTTACACATGATAGAATCTAATTTTTTTTAACTTTATTTTCATTCCAACTCCAATGTATTAACTGTATCCTTTGACCTTTTTTCATTTAACTTCAGATTTTACACACACACACACACACACACACACTGAGCCTTTATGGGGCCCCACCTCCTGGTGCAGAGCGTAACAGTGTGTGTTACTGCAGAGGCAAATCAGACCTGCAGTGCCCACCATCACACACACACACACACACACACACACACACACACACACACACACACACACACACACACACACACACACACACACACACACACACACACACACACACACACACACACACACACACACACACAGTCAGTTCACTGTGGTTTGTTTCCCTCAGTGCCAGCTGCAGCCCGCTGTCCACCAGCACGTGCCAGCTTGATGTCCCATAAGGAACATGTTTGGTTTGTGACCGTGTGTGTGTTTGTGCGTATGTGTGTGTGCGCGACGGAGGGCTTAGCCTAAAATCCCGTCACCCAGCTGCCTCCACTGTCAGATGGTCCCAAAGACCCACATCAACAGATGTACAGAGCAGCGATGGAGCAGGAGCACAAAATACCATCTCACAGCCAGTCCGTCTCTTGCAGCCTGTCTTTCCGTCTGTACCAAAGAAACCTCAAACCCCTCTGCTTTAAGACAGAAATATTAAGCAGTCATGTCCTCTTCATTCATTTTCATCCTCAGCTTGTGAATGCTTTCGGCCATTTTGCTCTCAGTGTAGTACTCTGTGTTTACAAATGCAGCACAACAAGTTGTCCTTGGCTGTTGTGAAGAGCTACTTTTGGAACCTGGTGTCGGTTTACTGATGCAGTCTGGGATCAGAGGAGGTGGGCACCTAATGTTGACAGACATAAAGGAAACTTGGCATCACATCACATATTTGCTTTGTTCTAAGCATTGGCAATAAATAACGTGGTTCATGCTAAATGATTGGGCAATGAAACAAACATTTTTAGTTGATTGGTAAAATCAGTTAGTGTATCGCTTGCTGCATGTTTTCAAAGCCCATTGATGCAATTTATAATATGAGCCAAAATAAATAAACTATCTTAACTCAACTACAAGACATTAAAATCCAAATTTACCCAATTGTATGTTTTTTCGATTGTGCTAGGTAACCAGAGCAGCCACTGGAAGCCAATGTTAATGCAAGGGGAATGTAAAGCTCCATATAGCTTTAATATTCACATAAAAATCTGTTTTCTTTTGTAGATTTAAAGAGCTCTTAACACTCTGTGATCACTTCTGAAAGTGTCTTCTTAGAAGGTCATGCATTACCTGAAGTCAATACCAGTTACTGTTACTCTGATAGACCAGTACAATATAAGGCCAAAAACTGACCATGCAGTCATGATGTGAAATCTCATGTCATAACCATTGGCACATATTGCTGCTCTCTCAGCCTCCACCCCTCTGGTTCGAGGCTTTACACCAGATTTTGGAGCCTGGCTGCAGGGATTTGTTCCCATTCTGCTACAAGAGCATTAGTGAGGCTTGTCGCTAACATTGGCTGAGAAGAGCTGCATCACAGGTTGTGTGAAGTCATTCAGTACCTTTTAGTAGCTCAAAGAGTACATGCATGAATCTGATACTGCCTCATATGATGTCACCTAAGTCATTGTTGGTTTTGGCTGGAATTAGGGGGGGTTACATTAAAAAAGTGAGCTGATTGTATCTCCTTAACCATATTTCAGCTTAAGGCCATCTTGAGATGACGAGATGAATTAACCTGTTATGATTGGATAAGCAGCTTTGTTATGTCGAGATAAAAAAAAACAACTTTTCCTGTGATCTTGGTATCACAGGAAAAGGTAAATAAAAGGAGTACCGTTAATAAAAAGTTAGGCCTTCCATATTTTTCTGCGACATGTCAAGCTAAACTTTTGCTGGGGTTGCATTGTGGGAAATGTTGGCAGCAGGTTTTGATAAGAGCAGGAGAATGTGCAGGTAACAAACAGATCCTCATCTCTCTCCATTACTGTCCAACTTGACTTGAAATGCCAAATCAGTGGATCAGGGACCAGCTTACATCATGACAGCTCCAGACAAAAGGTATGAAAATGACCTACATTAACACGAAGCTAAAAGCTAAAAGTAAAGGAATAGTTCTCCATTCTATGAGTTGCAACTTTTATGATTTGTAGGGGCAAGAAAAGAAACTGGTTTCATGCGGACATAAACTAATATAACTTCCACAATATATTCCCAAAGGACAAACTGATACTTGGAGTAGAGGACCAAGCCATACTTCTGATGAAATTAAAGACATCCATACTGTTTATAAAATATCCGTAATCACTATCAGCCCCGCTCTCCTCTCCTGCCTGTGACTCCACTGCTTCCACAAAGCTGTGTAAGTCGATCCGGCCTTTCCGACAAGGGAAGGTACTATTAGCGCCAGCCGGAGGCACCCATGGGAGTGAGGAGGAGAAATGTCCCACCCCACCACCAGCACTCCACCAGGCATCATAACATTACTCATGAAACATTCACATCCTTACGTGGCCAGGAGGATCACGCCAGCCTCCCATTGGCCGAGACTGGATCGGCCCAGAACAGGAGAGACGGTTCTATTGGAGCGTTGGGGCCGATGTGTGATGGCAGGACGGAGGGGAGGCTGGTGAGGTTATTGGTCGGATCGATCCAGACCATCCTCAGCCCCACACAGACGAGGGCAAGGGCACGGACTGCAGAGTTTCAGAGTTGCTATTCTTTGAAACAGTGAAGAGGATGGAAGTTACATTCAGTTTTCTCGGTGAAGTGTCCATGCATTTAAAGTAAGACAGATTTGGTCATATTTTAAAATGGTTGAAATAACTGGAGAAATGTTTTCAAAATACGTTAAATTTGAAAAACTCAGTGGTAGTATCCCAATTTGTTGGATTTAAAAAAAAACACATTGTGAACTTGGACCAACTTTGTCCTGCGAAATATTTGCATGAACTAAAAACCAATGTTTTTTGAGGAATAGGGTCAGGATCCCGAATCTTATTTATCATCAAAAATCTGTTAAATCAACATGACTGGAGATATTCAGCATGGTCGCCACTCAACATTTTTGGGGACCACATACTCTAAATCAACTGCATTAGGATGTGTGATCCAAACTAGGTGAAACAGTTTAATATGCATTCACTTTCATCAAGTATTTGACTATCCTTGTGTTACCAAGTTGTTGCTAACGTTCACATCCAGCAGAAACAGGAATATAAGCAGAGGATGTTTTTCTGGCCCTCTGAAGAACGTCACTCCAATACTCACTTATTTGAGCTCTGTTTTTGGTCTCCACCAACAACTGCAGGATACTTATTTCGCTTAGGATGCTTAATGATGCTTAGATGCTTATTTAGTTTTGTGTCTAAGTTGTCACACTGCTACTAACAGTAAGTTTAAAATACATTTAATCCAAAAATTGTGTTACTTTGTTTTTCTTTTTTTTTTAAACAATTAGCTGAAAGATGCCAAAACTTTTTGCAGAATTAAGTAACGGTGCTGCATGGAAACCCTTCAGCAGTCATTTCTGATTTTTGCTGCATAATATAATGGTATAATTCTTACCAAATAAGGAGGTTTTTAATGTTTCATTTAATTTGACTAGAATTTGATTTTCTTTACCTTATTGAAGATTTGAACATAAAATGAATGGACAGTCCTAGGTTAGATCTGTTGTTAGCTGCTGTGTCAGAGGTCAAGCACGAACTGTCAAGCTTCAGTTCTTCAAACAAGGATGAATGATGGAAAGGTTTAAACACCTACAGAACAAAGTTAACCAGACAAACTTCTCCTTCTGATTGTGTGATATAAAGTCCACCACGGTGTGATATGTTTCAAAGAAAGTGAAAATGAGCAGATCTGTAGTCAGGGTTTGTGAACTGCTCTGATTCTTAAACACGTTTTTACATATGGATGTCCAGCAGACCAGCCTCCAGTGGTGAGATGATTACTCGGCAGAGCTTTTCCAATGTTGTGTACTGTAAACCAAATATTACAGGCGCGATGAAGATGTGTCAAAACTGCTTTAATAAATAACTGGGATGATTATTTGGAACAATGAAACATCCACTAAAAGAATGGAAACCTTTGCACTTTGTATAAAATGAACTCAATGTCCCTTGTAGAATAAAATGTATACAATATGCATTTCAGCTTTAAACACCTGCAGTGATGCATCTTTAATTCTTTATTTTGCGATGTCCCATTTACAGAAAAATCCGATGGCGATTTGAGACAATGACATGATATGAAAAGGGGTAACTTTGAACTGAGTTGGTAACTTTAAAAAAAAAAAAAAAACATCTGCATGGTAGCAAAACATTTGCAAATATTGTTCCCTTCATTAAAGCCTTAAAGCCAAACATGATTTGACCTACCGACATCCACATTCATGACACTCCCAATAGCCATGGTTGTTGTTATTTCTTTTCAAGCCTCCATTGAGTGTTTTATTCCAGAAATCTCCGAGATAGTAAAGTGAGACGAGGAGAGCTCTTTACTCAGGCGAATAAAACACGCCACTCTACACCACACACACTTTTAAAGAGTTACTTTCCTTAATAGTGAAAACAAACCGACAACATAAAAAAGATGACCGTTGATTACACAAAGTATGCATTACATTAAGGCACCTGAAACAAAAGGGCTTTGTGACGGGTTTAGAAATGGTTTGAGAACTACTTAAGGCTATAATGTTGATAGTTTGGCGTCATTTACTGCCAAAAAGGTACGCTTTCATTTGTTATTTTTGAACATAATCCAGAATAAATAACAAAAAGTTTTAATAGAAAGCATGTTTAATTTAACTAAAGAATCCAAAGGTAAGCAACTACCGGTTTAAATATTAAAGAATAAGATGGCTGTTTTTTTTTTTTTTAATTATTGGCAGAAAATTAACAGTACATTTACATTATGGCCACGTCCCTATTTGTGATGTCACAGTGGGCATTTTCTTTAGCTATCAGGCAAATCAATACTGTGACATCACTGAAGCGTTTTTTTTTATTTCCTGGATTTTTTTATTATTATTATTATTTTATTTTATTTTTTTACAAAGTTTTGACTTCCACTGTCAAAATCACCAGGTTAAAAATACTTCTCTTCAATATGGCGACGCCGTTCTGAAAGACCAAGAAAACGTTTTAGACATTGTTTTCTGTACAGATATTTTACCTTCAAGAGAGGAAATGAAGTGCAAAGGAACTGGGATTTATTTGTGGTGAAAAAACATCCAGGTCAAAGATTTTAGCAGTAAAACTTATTTTGGATTGTATCAAAAAAATAAAACATACAGTAGTGTTGCATAGTGCAGAGTTAGGAAAAAATTAAAATGGAAAAAGCAAAGTTTGTTGATCTGCCCGGGACAGTTATTTGAAAATCTTTAAGTAAAAAAATTAAGATAAGATAATTAAGAAAGATCATTATTTTGTTTTGAGTAACAAAAATCTAGTGTAAAAAAATATAAATGCATCCTTGCTGACAAACCATTTATAAACCCTTCAAAAATTCCTTCACAGGTGGTACCTCGCTGTGTTATAAAACATGCCTACTTTGACTGGCATAAATAAAAGGAATGGCATTGTAAAAAAAATAAAAATAATATTAATCATAATAATAATAATAATAACAATAATAATAATAATAAAAATGTGTGACTTGTCTTTAAGTTACTTATCTCAAATATACACAGCGACTCCTTTAGTATTTACACATATGTACAGAGCATTCATTTCTGTTTGGAACAAATACCTTGAATGGCGTTGCTGTGAAATTGAACTCTCTAAATGTACACTTATATCCCTTTTGAGATTTGAGAACAAGGAGGTCAAACTGGGCAGCGCGACTTGAAGCCTCGACACGGCTCTTAGAAAGGCACTTGCTACCAACTCAAATACTGCAAAAAATCCTCAAACAGAGCTTTCAGCCAAGACAACTGAGAGACAGGAGAAAACAAAATGGAAGGCCACATAGTAGGCACTGGGGTTTCTGTCCCCTCTCCCCTCCAGGCCAAATGTTTTGGTAAGGCTGGCGCATGACGGCCACAGGTGGAAGAGACAGAGCAAAGGCAGGGTTTCCTCTGTTACTGTGGCTGCAACAGTCCTTTTCTTTCAATACCGTCTCTTTTGTGTGTCGACCCCCCTCACAGACACTGAACAGGAGCCTGCTGATAATTGAACAAAATCATAATCATCTGTAAACCAAAAAAAATCTTTTTACAGGTTGTTCTCTTCTCCGTGGAAAAATTCCATAAACAAAAAAAAAAAATCGCAGAAAGCTTCTTTTGCCTCCTGAAAATCTTTTTAATTTCTGCTTTCTCTGTACACATGAAAAAAATGAACAGAAGCAAAAAAAAAAAAGGATGCTCACTGTGCTCTGGCTTCCTAGATTCAAAATCATTTCAGGTGACAGTGACGAAAAAAATATGAAAACAAAGCAAAGAATGGCTTATTAAAACACAAAGCCAGTTTTTCTTCCAAAAGTAGTTCAGAAATTAGAATAGTCGCTGCCTGGCAGCTTCTTTTGCTTCTCTCGCTTCCACATTGGGAGTCCTTTGTTTAAATTTCTTATACACAATGGTCTCTGAGGTCTTTTTGACCTGTCAAGGCTGCACGGACATTTTTCCAGCGGTTGTCTTTGGGACTATAGCCTTGGGTCCGGTGGGGCGCTTTGAGGGATGAACTGGAGCTGTGCAGGGTACAGATCACTCCCTCACTGGACTTCACTGCAGTCTCAGAGTACTTATAAACTTGCTGCTTTCCAGCCTCTGCTCCACTACACTCCTCCTCGAGCTCAAGCTCACCTTCTGTCTCCTCCTCCTCCTCCTCCTCCTCTCCATCATCACACGTCCGACAGGAGGGGCCCATGAGCTTTTTGCGCTCCTGCTCAGCCTCCCTGTTGCTCTCTTTCAGCTGCTGCTGCTGCTCACGTCCCACAATGAGCCGAAGTGGCTCCCACTGGTTGTTCACGTTGTTGTCCGCAGCTGATCTTACATTCCTCTCGCGCTCTTTTCTCCGTTTGCGTGTCCACCAAACACATACAATGATGCAGAAGAGGCAGAGCAAGCAGAAGAGCACACATAGTAGAGGCACCAGGTAATCTGTTGACATCACGAGAAGCATAAAGGATACAGAAATCAGTTTAAGTAGTAAAAGGTCACTAATCAGGAACTGCATGGGGCCCATAACAAAGCCTTGTGGGACACCTTAAGTTAAGAGTTAATTATTACTCACCCACTGAAGGGGACATGATTTGTGTCTCCACTTTGACCTCAATGACCGCTAGCATGATGGTACTGTTGTGCCGCTTGGACAAGGTGCCCACTATGGCGTTGGCTGCCTGCTGGATCAGACTGTGGTCTGGTAGATCCTCTGGCTGGAAAGACTGAAAACCAAACCAAAAATGGAAAAATGATGGAAAAACAGGAATGACCTTCATTCCTACTGCTTCTTAGTAAAAATTAGGTAATCTGCTATATGCAATATGCAGTACGTTGTTTTCATTAGTGTGTCCCTTTTTGTTTACATGTGGATTGTTGTTTGCTTTTATTGTTTGTTTTTTATTATTACTATTCTGGAGGCAGCTAAACATGTGCAGCTCTTGGAGATAACCTAAATGGAACAATAAAGGGTATCATATCGTATAGTATCATAGTGTTTGGAAAGGTGTGAGAAACAATGTAAAAGTAGAAAGGATAAAAGTAAAAAAGTAAAAAGATAAGACTAGCAAAAAGTGCAAACTGCTAATTAATAACCGTAGCCTGGATCATCTACTTACTATAGCCACCTCTACGGCGTCCTGATTAGAGTGAGAGAGGTCACAGAGCAGGAGGAGGCTGTGTTTTTTTGCCAAGCTTCTGGTATCAGGAAGATACCTCAGCTCATAACAGATGTTCTCCACTGTTGTGCCCTGTGTTTACACATAAAAACAATGATCAGCAACAATACAAAATACCCGACTTGAGATTGCCTTAATGAAAGCTCCACTTCACCGAGAAAGAACACAGAAGTGACTTACTGTTGGTACTTTGTCTCTGTTGAAAACAAGTGTTAGCCGGCCGCAGCTGTTGTCCAAATGCCCGTTGTTTGGCTGGCACATTGTGGTCGCTTGTTGAAGTGAGCGTCCAGACATGGAACAAACCCCCCACTCATGGCATGGCGGAGAGAAGCAGGTGAGGTAGCTGTGCTCCACACACTGCCTTCCAGCCGGGCAGGTCTGATGTCTTGGATCCTCGCCTGATGATTTGATCCGGCAGGGTCGACGACCACACAGCACCTGGTTTCACAGGGTCACATTATTCACTTTAATTATCGGGTACACTGTATTTTATACATTTTGCCTTTTATGACAATCAGCGAATGTTTGCCATCATCTTCTTTAGGGCTTAAAATGATTATCAGGGGTCCCCAGCTTTTTTTCCAAAGAGCCCCCGCCCCCACCCACTTGGATCTAAGGAGAGCTGAGCTCCCAAAGGACCCACACAAAAGTGATATCTCTAAAAAAAATGTACATCAATTTAGCATTCAGAGAGCGTGTTATCATGATTTGAGTTCATATGTGCAAATAAAATTTTGACAACCTCAGTTAAATTAAATAATACACTATTAAAATTAAAAAAAGAAAAAGTCCATGACATTTTCCCCCAAAGCCAAATCTTCATGTTTTGTTTTATACAATCTCTGGTATATGATAGTTTGTCTGAATAATTCAATTTATTTTGTTTAAATTGTCAGATTATTGAGCATATTTCTCTATGGTAGTAGTGACTGGTTATGGGTGACTGTATTTCCTTTTTCAGACTGTTTATTTATAAGTGAGGATCAGCAGATACTTGTTGGAAATGTTACCTTTGTGCACTCCACTTTGCCATTGATGCAATGGCAGCTGTTGCACTCTTCCTCCCAGCGGCTGCTGTGGGGAAACTGCAGCCCGGCATAGTGACAAGCCTTCCCGATACCAATGACTGCAACCAGACAGAGAGAAGAGGACATGTTGAACCTTAGAAACATGAGTTTGTGCAGATTTCCTGTATTTATAGATGACCAATTTAAATCAAAAGTCCTGTATCAACAACACAAAGTATACATTTGACAACATAAACCATATATTGCTTTTATTTAAAGACTTAAAGTAGAGGATAGAGGTAAGGAGGAAAGGGAAAAGAGGTGCATTTACATTCTTGGCATCGAGCTCCTGTTCGACCCAGCGGACAGATGCATCGGAAACCGTTGATCTCGTCCACGCAGGTGGCACCGTAGGCACAGGGTGAACTCTGGCACTCATTGATGTCTGCAAAGGGAAAGAGAGCATCACATTTAAAATTGGACACCAGACTGTGGACCACAACGTTTATTTAAAGTAAAGGCCTGTCACCAGAAAGACACAAATTGTCTTCTGTAATGCTAGCCAGATGCAACATGCCAGCACCAGTTAGTCAAAACATCTCTGGTAATCCATTGATTACTGTGCTGTGTTGTTTTGAAAACTAAATCTATAGTTGGCCTTTTATTTTAGTTGGTAATAGGAAAACAGGTTTGACTGTATATCCTCACAGAAGAGGTTGAAAATCCAACTTTCTTTCCTTTAGAGTTCAGCACTTGTCAAATGAAAATTTCCCAATGTTCTTTTGTTAAAAGACTCCAGCGATAACAAGACTGAACTCTCGCTAAACATTTATTTATCTCATACATGTGTAAACTGGGCATCATTTAAGTAACTTGCACAGTTGTTTTTTTGGAGCAGCTGTGACACATATCGGTTGTACCATTCACTTTAAATCCACGGGAATCTTGACCATTGTCGTCCAGATTCCACATGAACACAATCTGGATGAGAGTTCTCAAACCTAAGCCTGACAGAAAAAGGTGAACGCTATCCGGCTCGAACAAAGGAACGGAGGAGAAGAATTTCGGGGTCACTGGGTAATTTGTCTTCAGTGTGTTTGTGTGACTGTGTGAGTGTGGAGGAGGGACCACCTCTGACCTCTGGGGCATTAAAGGACCAAGAAAAAAGGGGAGAGGGCGGAGACCCGGTCTTACATTGAAAGTGTCCATCTCTGTCTTGTACCCATTTTTCTTCTAGTGATTTTCCTCGCTCCATCCATACATCTTCTTAATGATTCTGTGATTTATCTTATGGCCTTTGTGTGTCTGAAAGCGTGTGTAAGTAAAAAAAAAAACTATATATCAAATACTTACTGATTCTGCAGTCAGGTCCGGCAAAACCTGGAGCGCACTCACACCGAAACCAGTTGATTCCGTCCACACAGATCCCGCCGTTGTAACTGAGGAAAGAAAGAAATAAAATAAAAAATGAAATGAGGCAATATAAGAGCCACATCCTCTCCAGCTGCAACAAAACACATCCTTTGTGTGTGTATGTGGTTAAAGAGGGGGAGTCAGCAGTACAAGCCTCCACCTTTCAGATGCTAATAGCAGTGTCCAGTCCCTCCCCTCCCTGCCTCTCATCGTGCCTCTCCTCAAAGCCCAGCTCCCTCCCCCACCCACCAGGTCACATGGGAAGAGTGGACAATAATGCCCCCACTCCGCAATCTCCATCACCTCTCCATCCCCCACCTGAATTTACCATGGGGTAGGTGGGACCCCAAAAAAAAAAAAAAAAAAAAAAAATCCTACATCCCAATCTTCCTCTGTTCTTTTCAATATGTAAGCACCCTCCTGTGAAAGATGCCACTTTGAGGACAGCTTCCACACGGCTCTCAGCAGCCCTTCAAGCCTCACACCAAGGTCTGTGTGAAGTGTCCAGACGAGGGATAACAGAGGGGGGGGAGGAAGGTTTGGGTATGTCACCGAGTGTGTGAGGGAGACACCAGGACTTACCATGGATGAGGGTTGCAGTCGTTTATATCTGTTGAAGAAGAAGGACAAAAGAAGAGATGTTTAGTGTTGAGGTTTCTTTTTTTTTTTTTTGTACTGATTCATCTGTTAAACATCGGTATCGGCCACTATCTGCTGATTCAGATATAGGTTTGTCAATGGGCAGAGGAAGTCACCTGTTAGATAACTCAGATTGGTTTTCATGGTCAAAAGAGAAAGAAAAATGTTGGCACTGTGGGAGTCTTAGGGCACACTCACATTAGGCCCATTTGCCCCATACTGTGCCAAAGCACATTGTCTCGTAGCCCCAGGCCCCTTCTGGCCTGCACTCGCATTCCTTCAGGCCCTACCAGTCCTGAGGCCCTGAGTTACTTCTTGGACATATATCATCACGTCGTACTACTAGATAGTCAGAGATTTCCCTAAGACCTCTGAGTTTTATCCAGCCGACTTTATATATTTGCGTCTGCAACATTTTTTGAGTAAACACTTGACCTCTGCATCGGACCATCGTGAACCCTTTGATTGAAAAGAGGAATGAAAGGATTTAATGGGCTATACATCATGTCCATGTTCTGCACCATGCTTGTGCTCCAAGCCTCCGTCCTTCAACTGTCTATAAACCAGGGCCACGGAAACGTACTAGTCAATCAAAATGGACTTTGGGGGTCAAACGTGATTGGGGATGGCACGGTTTGCTTAGTGTGAGTGCTCCCTAAGACATGTTCCAGTGACATTTCAACTACTAACAATAATTTAGATTTTCAAATCTCATTTGAAAAGCAGACACAAAACATTACTAATTAAAGAAACATCACTATCAGCCATTGGCTAAATAATAAAAAAAAAAAAAATCTTAAGTTTTTGATATTTCATGCCTTTCAAGACATAACGTTCATAGAACCTCAGAGCTAGCAGGTCCTTGTACTTTGTTACACTGGTAGTTTGACACTAACTGTAGTGAATGTGTATAAAGAACAAAGCCATTATTAAAACACTGTTTTAAAAGGGTACAAAAAGTTACAAATGAAGGGTACAACATGTATCTCATGTCTGGATGTGTAATTCTATTTTTCATATGAAGTCATACTGTATAGAGAAACTAACTTTGGCCGCAGGTGGGACCCTCCCAGCCCTCTTTGCAGATGCAGGTGAAGGTGTCTCCTCCGCCCACACAGGTTCCACTGTTAGAACACGGACTGGAGGCACATGTGCTGTTCTTAGCTGCGGGAGGAGAGAAAAAGCATCAGTCAAGGATTAGAAATACTGTGCAGCATATTTACACAATAAATCAAATATGACAAGGGTTTTTGTTGCAGCACTACATAGAGCTACAACTCTTCTTCCTGAGAGCTGACATTTTCCACTAAAACTCTGCAAAGGCCTTTTATGAATAATCTGTGTGTTGTAGTAATATTGTGACAATGCAAAACTTAAATAACCTTCAATAATTTACAAAACCAAAATAAGCCATTTTCCAAACAAAACATAAACGCCATCACAACATCGGACTGACCAAATTAATGAAAGCCATTCTTAAGATATTTAATGGATTTTTCGAAATAGACAAAGGCTGCACAATAAATCTGTTTTTTACTAAATGAGCACTTACAATAAAGACATCACAAATCTGTGAATGTATTGTCATTAGTAAAACAATTATTTGATGTAAACAAGCAATGCTTTCTCACATTTAAATAGAGAGCAGGTGTAATGCTTTCACAACGTTTTAATGCCGTCAGATGAAGATCAAGCTATCAGCTACCCGTTTCCAGTTGCGGCTTTTTTTGTTCATTGCACTGCACAATGTTATTCCAATGTTGAACTAAATACCTGCACATTGCATCTCTTATCATGTTATACCCCATGTGGTCTAAATGAAACATCTGTGCTGTGCTTTGGTCAAAATATAACATGAATCAAGCACCAGAGGAGGTTTGTGACCCTGTATAAACCAGCTCTCTCAGAACGCTCCGTTTTGGTGTGTGTGTCTCTTTAAATGCAACGAAAAACAAAATAACATATACACTTCAGGTGACATCATCACAACGTCTTAAAGAGCTGCTCCAGGCCTCACCTGTGTTGCATGTGTTCCCTCCCCAGCCAGGTGGGCAGGCACAGCGGAAGACATCCCCGTGGTCGAAGCAGGTGCCTCCGTTACTGCAGGTGGTCGGATCGCACGGTCTCTCACCTGGACAAGGACGGCAAAGAAACACGGGTGTCAAACCCTCACACTTCTTGGTACGAAGCATCAGTAGGACTGGAGGGTCCTAGCTGTCTAAATACACAGACATAGACGTGGAGCTGGGGCCACAGTAAGCTCTGAACATAAACACGCGTTGACACAGAGCAGACATAACTCACGGGAATGGCAGGTCTTGCCCTTCCACTTGTCGGCACACTCGCAGTAGAAGTCGTTCACCAGGTCGACGCAGCGTCCGCCGTTCTTACACGGGTTGTGTCTGCACTCATTGACATCTGGGGGAAAAAAAGGTACATGATTCAGTTTTTTTTTTTTTTTTTTCCAAACTGTTGTCCATCTAGGTACAGAGACATGAAGGTGTACTCCAACCACGACTTTTCTGTTTACAATGTTTCAAAGAGAGACCGACAAGACGAGTAAATATGAGGAGCTCACTGAGGTCGCAGAGCCGACCCTCCCAGCCGTCCGGACAGAAACACTGGAAGGAATTTATCCCGTCGATGCACGTCCCGCCGTTTCCACACGGGTTGTTGATGCAGTCGTTAATATCTGGAAAAAAAGTTCAGGGGAAAGGTTTAAAATAGTTCACGCTTTGAGCAAAACTTCAAAGAAATAATGAGTCTTCGGGGGGGGGGGGGGGGGGGGTCTGTACTCACTCTCATGGCAGTACATGCCGCTGAACCCTGGGTCACACGCGCAGGTGAAGTTTCCTGCTGGTTGGCTGATGCAGCGTCCTCGTGGGCCGCAGACATTCGAGGAGATGTGCCGCACTCCTGCCGAGTCGTTGGTTGCTATAGCAACAGTGCAGCTGTCAATCACTGCAAGAGAAAGGGGGGGGGGGGGGGGGGTTAAAATTTGTTGCACTTCTTCCCCACAATAGATGAGTAAATACTGTGTCATCGTGGTCACCTTGACACGGCCTGCTCTGGCAGTCCTCTTTGAGCCGCTCGCACGTCTTTCCCTCGTAGCCTTCGGGACAGGCGCAGTAGAAGTCCTGATCCATGCTGTGACACTTGGCATCGTTCTCACAGGGGTTTGGATCACAAGCATCAGAAGGAAACCAGCTGGAGATCTATAAAAAAAAAAAAAGAGAGAGATTATCACATTTACAACTCAGACAATATCAAGAAAAGAAATCTAAAACACAAAAATGGAAATTCAGCTTAAATCAGGTTTCCCCCATGTAACATATGATAACCTCCTTAACTCTTCAGGGCGTCTTATAAAGAGTGTTTGGGCGTTTTTTTTTGTCTCTGGATGGCAATTTTACAGTTGTGACTCACTCACACTCCTCCAAGCATCGACCATTGGACAAACATTTAAAGAAAACAACTTCCAGTTTAGCACCAAACAGCAGACAAGTTAAACATCAGCAATTAAGAAATAGCAGTTGAACAAAGTGGAATATTCAACTGCTAAAGAAAGGAAGGAAAAAAAATGCATTTAGGAGCAAAACAGAGCTAAAGATTTACCAACTCTAAATGAATGCAAAGGTAACATCACATCTTGTGTTGTGTGTGTAAACTGTTAAAATGAGTGCCAAATTTTTTCATGATAACTTAATTTGCAGAAAACGTGTCAATGTCATGTTTACAGCACAGATTTGTTGCCCTGAATCATCCAAGTAAAAACTGAGTACTTCACATTTTACGTTTATTTCTCCCAGGTAAGAAGTTGAATCTTCAACAAACCGTCTTCTGCGACCTCTGAGGAGCTCCTCTGGGTCAGACAGCGGCTAAGTGTCTTGCCAAAAAGAGCTCTTGAAGCAGTGCAGGAAGGTGACAGGAAATCAGGAAACACGAGCTGACCATTGGCTACAGGCCAACTTCAGTAACTTTCAAACACTGCTGAATTTATCAGACATCAATGGTTTCTCATTATTGTGATGAGAAAAAACGATTTAAGACGCAAGTGGAGCCACATGGGGAACAGACTTGAGCTCATACCTCCCCATTAACACACTGAAGTGGTGAATTGTGACCCGTTCACACACAACAAAGCAGTGGGAGCAACTTGTGGTTAAATGTCTTGCACAAGGACACATCATGTAGCTGCAGGAGCTCGGGATTGAACCCGCAACATTCCAGTGAAGCAGCAATCGACTCTCCCACTGAGCCACAGCCGCCCCACATGAAAGTCTGTGTAGGTGAACGCCTTAGCTTTGCTCATGCTGCTGCACAGAACACAGTGAAGGTAAGAGGACGAGCCTCAGAATCTTTTCCCTAAGCTCGTCTTGGGAATCCTCACTTCTGCTTTTACATCTTACTCAATTCAGAGCGAACACTCTGAGACAGAGGTCTGATCTGACAAGAGAGAGAAAGAAGATGATAATGACAACAAATACGGACTAAAGCAGAGCCACAGTGGGGCAAAAAAAAACATCTGTCATTCCACTGTGAAACAGAAAGAACCCTTCTAGAGATCGTAGTGACAACGTTTTCCATTTCTTCATGGAGTACAAAAATCTCTCCGTTTATGTCAACAGTAGGCTACTGTGCGTAAACTTTGAGTTGCACCCGTTTGCCATTTAAGGTGCTGAACCCGGCCGTTCGTTGTCAGAGACGAGTGTGAGTGAAGTCTGCGGGTCACACGGTTTATTTTACCCCGAGTGTCAGGGCCACATACATTTCTTTTCTTTACTATTTGTACGTGTGTGGTCAGAGGAGCGTGTCTGAGGGGAAGAGAGTCCCATAAATCTTGGGGTGCATTAGTCTCACCGTGTGCAGCGCTCACAGAGCAGGAGACGTGTTTCAGTGTGGTAAACAAGTCGGGGAATATATTTGAAGAAGAGGGAACCCACAAGATTCACTCGTGGTCAACTATGAACACATCTGTAGATAAATATCGTTTTTTTTTTTTTAAAGATAGCTGCTCTCAAAGTGTATTACGAGCAGAATTTTCAAGTTTAAACTACGTCTAGAAATGCCACAATTTTAAACATTAAAATGTATGCATGAGCTTCTTCTTATTTTTCGTTTCTTTGAGAGGGGAAGGTCATTCATTAATCAATCGTCAATGCAGCTCAGTCCATCCAGCTAACTGTGGATGGTTTTTTTATTTCTGAGACGACCACAACAACGACCCTCTTCCCTACGTCCACATCCACCGTGCCGCTCAGAGGACGAACGGGCCCACGCACCACATAAATCACACCGTGTAAAAACGACTCTACAGTGCTCCTAGTGGTTGCATTCTGCATAGCGTTAATTTTCTGAGAAAGTGCACAACCAACGCTCCAAACCACCGCAGGATACGCGAGGCTGATGTCAGGCGTTCGCGTAGTTAAAAGCAAATATACTCAGCTTTATATTCTCTCAGAGAAAGTTTAGTGACATGCTTGACAGGATTTATTGCAGTAACATTTGATGCATCAAATTAAATACATCATGTGACCAAGCTTAATCCAAAAACAGACCCAAAGAATGATGCATGATTTGTAATTCTCGGTCCTGACTTTCACAATCACTACCTCTCTAACTGTGACTTATGAGAATGGAATAAGTTAGCAGGTATTTTTTTCACTTGAATTCAATGAATCAGAAACCTTTTCCAAGCTGAATACATCACCACATCTTTGCTCATTCACTCAAAAATGACAAAAAGCCAACCTGCTGTGTCACTAGAGGAGAAGCTGGAGGATGATCCAGGTCACTGCGATCCGTCATATTGAGGTCAAAAAGTTTGATGGTAATCCATCCAATAGCTGTCCTAATATTTCTGTTTTCGGACCAAAAGCTTTGGACCTATTAAAAGCAGTAAATGTGGCATTTCTGCAGGGATTCAAGCTGTCCTTATTTCTTCTAAAAAAAAAAATCATTCAGCGCTCATCACCAATACACACTCTGACTCCACGGACCGGAGAAGGAGACACTAATCATTGAAATATGAAGTCGCGGGCGTTGTAGCTTTGGCACAGCGGGGCAGGAATGTACACCGTGCCATAGCAGGCTTTTAGAGCCGTGTAGTATGCTGGCAGAAATCCAGCGTCACCTCATTCAGAGAGGCTCGTATTTATAGTAGAGATGCTAAAAACAGGACTGGCTCCTGACCAGCAATGTCCTCCATTCAGGACCCAGGAGATGCAGGGGAGTGTCGGCTTCCTCACGGCTAACCTACATCAGCTCCAAACACACACTTCAAATAGAAAAGCCTGCAGCAAGGACACGCATGTGTGGTGTGTGTGTGTGTGTACGCTTATTGATAACAAGAGAAGTTTGCAGTCAAAGCTGAGCTATGGGCTTGTTGGGCGTAGAGCATACTTTATACTTTACAAGATGATAGGAACAAACGGCAATCAGCTTTAAGTGTGTTCACTTGCAGATCTTAAATAAATACTTTGTGTTCAATTTCAAAAACACAAATTGTCAAATAAGAACTCATGTCGTCAGCATATCACCACAGCATACATGTTGTTGTTGGGTTCTTCTTGGAGTCTAATCATGACATGACAACTGACACCACCATCTAAAATAACGATCGCCTCAATAATCCAGAGCTGAGATCAGTTCAAACAGCAGACTCACCTCACACTGCTGTCCAGCGAACTCTGGCGGGCACTGGCACACAAAACTGTCCAACACCGCGTGACACTGTCCTCCGTTCTGGCACGGTTTGCTTTCACACTGGTTCCTCTGGATCTCACAGTGGGTGCCCACGAAGCCTGGAGGACACTGGCAGTGGTAGCGCCCCAAGCCCTCCTGGTAGGAAAAAAAATACAAAAGAGACAAATGATGAGTTCAAGGGCAGAGACATGTGGCCTTCAAGGACACCTGCTGGTTTGGTCCAAGTACAGGGAAAAACAGATTAAAGTCCCGATGGATGGCTAACAAAAGGTTACACTTTTACTGTCAAACCAGCCAATTCATACTCTTTTTATATTGATTGGCATTTGCAGCAGCCAATAGCACTGATGGTGGAGATGCTAACCAACGAGCTAGTTTTTAGAGCCTGCACTTTGCTTAGTAGCTCACAGGAGTTATCGTAATGACACAAAACACAAGCTAAGGAATCGTTTCATTGGATGGGAAATAATCTATAAACGCTGAGTGTTGGACAAGTCATCGAAAGATGTTGTCTAGCATGTGTATGACAATGAATATAAGACATATGTACCAAAGCTCTAATGTGACCTGCATCCATACATTTTATTTCCTCAATTTTCCCGGGATATCAAGTAATATCAGTTTGTTTTATCGAGACCTGACCTCATGGCACGTCGTGGTCTGGCCTATCACAGTGACCAAACATTTCGTTTTCAAATTCTCCAGAAAATTGTTCCCATTATCAGGAGAAAACAAGATGTGTTATCCCGGGAAAAAATAAGATAAGATTTAGAGAAAAGAAACAGAAACTGGATTTCAATCTTTTACTGGATTAAAATCATGAGGACTGGTTATGGTGGGGTCATTGTGACCAGGAGAGTTAAATAAATCTTCAAATGTTAAGTTTAAAGACGTTTGTTGTTTGTCGCTGGTCTGACCTGCACACACTGGGCCGTCAGACGTAATGAGTGAAAAAAACATGTTATTCTAAGATTAGAAAACAAATAGTTGAGGTTAAACTCGATGAGAATGTGGATCGATGAGCGCAAAAAAAACAACAACAAAACTTTGGACTGTCAGTCGACTAACGGCAAAAATCTAACCAATCAGGCTGGACGATGTAAATCCTTAGAGTCGGGGAAGCATGTCTGCTTCAAGCTTCCGTACACACAGTATGTGATAAAAACAAACTTGAACAGTGTTGTCATGGTAACTACAAAGTTAAAACATACCTTGCTACATGTTGCTCCATTCTTGCACTGACCGTGGCAGCCTTTTATGTCTGAAGAGGAAGAAGACGTTAAATAAATCATGAAAACTTTCCATGTAGATGGTAATGTATGATTGTATTCGTCATCAGACGAGCATTCAGGATGTGCTCAGATTAAGATAAAGCTCGGAAAAGAAACTAGTAAAGTGAAGAGAGTGGCAGAAAGAGCTTTTGTAGATGGTAACCTGCATGCATTGGATCCAGATGAAGGAACAGGGCATGCAAGTTCAGTCATGATGAACAGAGTGGGAGCTTCAATTTGCCAACCCCAGAAAGAAACGGGTTACCACATGTGGGGAAAGTGAGTGAAACTACGTCTATGTTCAGTGTCCAGGAAGTGAGAGGAGGCATTTAAAAAAAATAAAAAATAAAGCCAGAAGGAGAGGGACACCAGCAGAAGGACAGAGGCTTTTTTAAAAAAAAAATTTAGAAGGGAGAAATACTGACTGATGTCACAGTTTTGTCCGGACCATCCCAGAAAACAGGCGCAGTAATAACCGCCAATCAAATTTTTGCAAGAGTGAGCGTTCACACAGGGCTTCCCTGCACACTCATTTGCATCTGTAAAGGTAGGATGAAGAAGGAAACCAAGTCCAACATTTAAAAATCAACCAAGAAGAGAACACAGGCAGAAAAGAGACCAGAATCAAACCTTAGAAGCCGAGCCAACACAAACATTCAATAAACTAAAACCATCAAATACATTAAAGGTTGAGACTAGAGCTGTTGAATTATTATAAATTTTAATCGCTGTTAATCGCTGAAGTTCGATAGAGAATCACAATTAATTGCATTTTAATCACATGTTTGAAATTCCATTATTTCGCATTTAAAAATACAAATTGTTTTGTACCCTCTTAAGTTATCAGTAACTCACTTGCTGTTTAAAAAAAAGGAACGACCTCCTGGTAGATCGAATTTCACAACATTAATTTAACCACTGAGGAAGGAATGTTTAAAAAAAAAAACTAAAGTAAAACAGCTGTGAGGAACATTAAAAACGTGAAATTCAAGGTGGATATTAGAAAGTGAAAATGAGACATTCAAAGATGCAGCAGTGTCGATCTATTCTCCATCACTGTGACTACAGGGGGAGACACTGAGGAGGCTTATCCAAGGTGCATCAAAGGGTCTATAGCGTCAGACAGCGGACTCTATTGCTTCGTTTGGCCACTTCCGCCTGGTTCTATTTACATTATTGGCTATTTCTGCCTCGTTCTTTTTAAGGCATGTCTTTCCTCAGGAGACCCCCGGCACCACCACACCGCCCAACACAGACAGTCTCCCGCTGTGAGGTGCATGTGTGAACAACCAGATCAGGAGGATTTCAGGGGCAGTCCTGCTGAAATGTTCTGGCTACATGCGCGTTCAAAACAAAAACAGCTAAATAAATTTAAAAAAAACACTGATTTGTCTACAGGGGGCGCCAAAATCAACACAGCCAAAAGATCCACACAGGAGCTTTAAATCCCCATCATGTCACACAACATGGACATGGATGGAACAACATTCAAAGTAACTGCAAAGTGTCACCAACCAAATGCCAAAAAAGGGAAGGGGGGGCGGGGGATGGGGGGGCAGTCTGCAGGGAGTCCTGCTGTGTTCACTCACACACACACCTGTCCTTTTCTCTGAAACCTTACACTCCACACACACACACACACACACACACACACACACACACATGTACACAATCGCCAGGTAAGACAGGAGGCCAGTGGCTGCCTGTAAGCTGAGCTCTGAGCTGGCAAGATGAAACTGAACCCCTGGGATCTCTTCTCTACCTTCAGCCGTTCCAACACACACACACAATCGCACGCACACAACAACCCAACTTTGTTTACTGCTCCTAATACATTTCCTGGCTTCATGTTGGTCACGTCCGCTTGTCGGCACGGTAGCAATATGGAAACGAATGCCACAGCCAGCGACAAACAAACAGCCGGATATAGACACACTAGTGGCTCATAAAGCCATTGAGGAGGAAAAAAAAAAAAAAAAGGCAGCTGTGCAGCTGCCAGCTCGTCCAGGATATTGACAGCTTGTAGTCTGGCCATGGGGCTCAGGTTGCTCGTTGCAAATTTGAATCCCAAAAATATGATCAACTTTCTACTGAATAGACCGTCTGTGACAAGTCCATCTTTCAAGCTGCACTTTTCCCTGTTTGGTTGTGTACTTGTACGTCTCATCATAATATGAGATGCAGAACATGAATCTGGAAATCATCAGATGAATCCTCAATGGACCCATGAATAAAACTTCCACAAAACTTGAGACCCGTTTCAGTAGTTTGTTATTGACATGAATGCTGGGTTGTTGTTTGTCCACTTATTTGGGCATATCAAAGTTTTCCTCTGTTTTCTAAAACATGTCTTTGAATAAAGTGTTAAAAAAAATAAATGAAATGAAGTTGTGAGTCTCACCTATCTGGCAGGTCTTCCCCTCCCACTCTGGAGGACACACACACTCGAAGCCGTCCTCCAGGTCGACGCAGGTTCCTCCCCGAGCACAGGGACTCGAGCGCACTCGTCCACGTCTGAGAAAACACACAGACCAACTCTCACACCGCTCATGTCTTTCTTTGTTTATCTGAAGGTAAATGATTTGAACATCTCATGTGGACGTGAAGGATGTGACTCACTGTTAGCACAGGTGGGACCCTCCCAGCCCGCTGGACACTGGCACTCGAACCCGGTGGGGACTTCGTGGCATGTACCGCCGTTGGCACACGGGTCGGAAACACAGGCGTGCGTGGCTGGTGGAGGAGGATGTGTTCAAAGACTTTACGGTTTGTTCATACAGAGTACTCCAGCATTATGAAGCTGGTACGTTTTCATATCGATCATGTTTCAAAAATCTTAAAATTCAATGTTTGATTCAACAAACCCCACAACAAGTTCCACAGATATTCAGTTCATAATCATACAGTACAATAAGAAGTGGCCAAGATTTGCATATTAGCAGGGGCACTGTTAGTGGATAGCCTAGCGGTTATGTTGTGCGCCCCATGTACCAAGGCTATAGTCCTTGTCTCAGCAACCAAGGGTTCAAATCCGACATCGGCCCTTTGCTGCACGTCATCCCTCCTCTCTCACCTCCCGACATTTCCTGTCTCTCTTCAGCTGTCTTTAGCTGGTAAGGCCAAATGGCTCAAAATGTCTTGACATTTTTTTTTTTTTTTTAATACTAGATTATTCAAAATGTCTAAAAACGTCGCACATCCATTTCATAAAACAGGAGCGTGTAAAACAGAGCAATGTGTCCATCAAAAACTTCATGCTGAACTCCCGCAACACTGTCTAACTTGCTAACAAACATTTATTGGCCACGTTTCGGTGCGAGACCTCCATCCTGCAAAAAGTTTTACTTTATTTACGTGACTTTTTTTTTTTGCCCAGGAATACAGAGAAGAGTTCTTATGTTGGGACGCTTTCTGATTCATTTTCATGGTCAAATGTGAAAGAAAATGTCGGCAGTGTGAGAGTCGTACACCGTCTCTGGCAACATGCGGTTTCTAAGACATGATCCAGAGGTAGTTTAAAAGGAGGGACTTCTTACAACAATTTAAAAACAGCAAATGTCACAGCTCAAAGAAAAAACAGACGTCGAGAATAACTAACAAGAAATGAAAAAAACATCAGTATCAGAATCTGCAATCGGCTGAATTCTTATTTTAAAAATCAGCATTGATCCTGATTTCCACGAGCGGTGCATCTCTAGCTGAAGTGTGTGGCCTTGGTTTACATGTTTCAGTGGAAACCTTCCTCCTTACCTGACTACTCTTCTGTCTCTGAACATTTCAAGCCATTCAACCAGATCTGAAAACTGGATCACTTTGAAAATACTGAGGTTTAGGACTGAATGGGGAGGGATGACTGCTTTCAGAGCTGCTGCTTCCATTATGTGGAATAATGTTTCAAAAGATTATTTCAGACTGCGTTTTTCAAGAGCTAGTGTCCCAACTACTGAGGGAAGGAACTTACGACTGTTTTAGGATGTGAAATCACTGAAATGGTTTGCAGGTGTAACATGTGCGTCTATGTCATTCTTTTTTTTTAAACTGTAAATATTTGTTTTGTTTGTATCTGTATTGCTGCAGGGCAGAGACCTCGGTCTCAGTGGGTGGTAAAATAAAGGACAAATACAAAATACTCATCCCTCTACAAATAAACATGAACAAGACAATGATGTACTCTTACCTATCTGACAGTTCTCTCCGGAGTATCCCTGTGGACAGACGCAGGCGTACTCGTCCGGCTCCGTGTTCAGGCAGGTTCCTCTGTTGACACAAGGCTGGTGACGGCCGCAGTAATTCAGATCTGGACGTTTAGAGACGCAAAAAACATTCATTAAGATCAGAGAAATGTGAGAAATCACATTTTCCAAATCAGATCAGAGAAACAGCGAATCATGACTTCACCCATCCTGCCTGCATCTCTGCATGATCTACAATCATGCAATCTTCAGTTTGCCTCTACAGCCCCCTCTCCATCATGCACCATGAAGCTAAACATGAAGATATTCTGCTTCTTGACTCTATGCAACTGGAATCAGCTAAAACCACTAATATTGATGTATTCATTGCAGAAAACGTTAAGATGATTTAGCTTTGCAGTTATATAAAAAAAAAAAGACTCCATGTGATGTAGAATTTCTCCAGTCTTCTCCCCAAAATAAAGACTTTTCTTAAGTTTTTGTCCCCAACATTATAACCTCTAATAGACCCGTGTGATCCCGGCACACACACACACACACACGTCCTCAGGCCAAAGGCCAGCGCGGCCCACGGGCTGGTTAATAAAAGAGCAGGGATCTGTCTCCACCTGGGATCTTAGGACTCGTTCTCATCCCCTGAAGAGCCCGCGGTGACGAAGAGACGAGAGGAGATCGAGTGTCTCTGCAGCCGCTCAGATCTCACAGGCAGTAAAGCTATCCAAGCTGCTGTTCTCCACTCGCAGAGAGCCGGGGGGGGGGGGGGGGGAACCCCGGACCTCATTTGATGGTTAACGCTTGTTTTAACTGTATATTAAACGATTTAAACAAACACTAAAGTGACAGATGTGCCGCACGTCATCCGATGTTCAAACGTGGTGCGAGTTGCAAAAAAGGCCCTTCTTCAGAAAGTCGTTCCTTTTGCATCTCTGCCTCACTCGTTCCTCGTCAGACTCAGCTGTAGCTTGTGGGGGCGCGCAAGAGATGAGATCAGAGACTCTCGCCAGCGTCATGTGTGGGAGCTGATGAAATGACACAGAAAAAAAAAGAAAACCTTACCTTTATCACACAGCAGACCTCCCCAGTTCCTCTCACAGCTACACTGCCACGGGATGTTGCAGGTCCCGTGGACACAGCCCGGGTACAGCAAACACTCATCACAGAATTGGCCCTTCCAGCCGTAGTTACACCTGTCAAGAGTCAGACACGGACGCCAGAACATGACATGAATTATTACACTCGACTGAAACCCTCTACCTGCTCTCTCAAGAATCCCTCATTTTCACTTTATTGTCTGGCATTCACTGCCCTCTTCCCCTCCAGATTATTCTCTGAAACTAAATTATACATCAATGTTCCAGAGTTAAAAAAAACCCCAGCTCTGTACAGTAACAACTGCTGTTTTAGTGTCTTGAACATCTGTTATGAATTGGGCCGGTCTTCTTTCAGATGTGACCTGTCTGCCAGTGGAAACACACCTCACACTGTATCATGCGTCAACCTTCCACACAAGGCCTCCTGCCAACTAATCTTAGCGGGGCGGCGGGGGAGACATTCCAGGGCAGGAAGGGTTAAGAATACTTTGAGCGGCTCCCCGAGACTCGGGGTGAGGGGGGGGACTACGAGGGTGGTGGCACAGTGGTTCTGGAGACGGCTCTGTGTGTGCATACACAGCGAGTGTACGCGATATGGCGCTCGGCTATTCCAAGGCTGCCGGTACCGTCGCGTACCAGCTGTCTTGTCAATTGGCGGCTATTTTTGAGTGTCCTGCAGACGGCACCGCTGTCTCTGTGAGAGACTGAAGCGCGGGGGTGGGGAGAATGCATTGGGGAATACTTGTCATGTTTCTTTCACTGTATACGATTAGCTCCGGAGGGTCTGACAGCAATGTAGCAATAACACCAAGAGGACTTTGGCGAGAGACTTGATAACTGCTTTTTCTTAAGCTTGTAGGTATTAAAAGATGTATTCAGCAGGTTACTTCTTGGTCGCGCTGACATCGTAATCACTCATCTTCCGCTTACAGGTGCAGGCGGGTAACTCTTTGCAGTTTTAGTAGGAAATCTCGGGGCTTTGAAAAACGCTTCAGAGTGGTGGAAAGTGCCTTTAAGCGAAGTGATTCTTGGGACAGGAAAAGCCTTTAAAAGAATTTGTCAGAACAAGCCTAATGTCTACTAATAAAAAAGCGCCTCAATCAGCAGCTTAACAACAGGCATGCAGCAGCTTTTGTGATTCTTACAAAGCCGGCGGCGGACAGGGGCACGGCCCATAAATCCGTGATGAAATAAAAGGGAATTAAAAAAAAAAAAGGAGAGATGGCAAGGGATTAAACGCCAGGTTTCGTGACCCGAGGCGTCTTTGAATTCATGCCACTGCAGGATGATCTTCTTCTTCTTCTTCTTCTTCTGCTGCTGCTCTTCTATTCATGTCACTCTTCCTGTTGACTGGGGCTTGATGTTTCGATGGAATAAGTTGCTTCATGCTGTTGTCTGTCTGCTGAGGAATGAGGATGCAGCCTACTTCACCCACGCAGATAAAAAAAAAAAAAAAAAGAAAAGAAAAGAAAAAGTGAGGCAGTTTCCTAAAAGTGGTCATCCCCTGTTTTTTTCCTCGGCACCGAGCCAAAAATGTTCTGCCTCACAGCGGGAGGATGCGTCTCTCTATCCATCTGGCAAATGGGAGACTGGGGGGGGGTTAAAAATGACGACAGGAACTTCAACATCCTGTAAATGTGGACCGATGGGGCCGGTCGACGTCACCTTATCTATTTCCACTTGTAATGTACATAACACAGGGAGATATTAATTTCCTTTTCCTTGCCCCCTGCCCTTCAAGGGAGGACTGCAATGCGGATGAGGAGGGGAAATGACCATTCCCAGCACGTTTACGGTGGTCAAATCCACACACCAACGACTCCCCCCCCCCCCCCCCCCCCCCCCTCAGCCCGAGCTACACAGATTGTTTGGTATTCTGCAGAGGTTTTTCAGGTGTCTAAAAATACAAGAGAGCAGGCGCGGCGTTGCTCTTTCTTTTTTTCCCTCCTTCAGAGCCGAGGTGGAGATGCCCACGAGGGAAGAGAACAAGGCTGAGATGAAAAACACAACAGGCCACGACAAGTGAGGGACGTCTCCCGCTTGGCAACAAAATTCAATCCCGTCTCACGTCTTTCACACGTTGAACTTGTGGTTCTTCTGCAGAGAGGTTGCTGCCTGAACACATCAGCTTTTGCAGCAGAGACCATCTGATTTATCAAAGAACATCTTTTTTGGTCATACTGATCAACTTTCGACGATGAAGAAAACCCCTCTTTTGTCAACATTACCAACTTTTGTTGTCATGGAGACCACCTTTTTGGGGCAGAAACTCCCTTTTTTGTACCTCAGGCTATCTCTACCTGCAAGACCATTGTGTTCATGATGCGTTTTGTGCATCACCTCAAATTCTGCTAAACCTGCCCATGCACATCCATCCCTTTTAAGTTGCCTTGTCACTGATCTCTTCTTTGCTTTGTAGGTTATACCGGCTCATTTAATTCTGTTAGTTCAAAATTCTGTTCTGTTTCACCTTAGTACAGTGACACAAGTTATTTTCTGATGTTTTGATTCTGATTTTCGAAGGTATCAAACCTAAACAAATCTAATTGCATGTACAACACACGTTGGATCTGAACACAAGGCAGCAGGAAATCTCTATTAGCAGTACAAACCCTGTTAAAAAAAACAAAACCTGAATATGACAGAGACAATATATTCCTGCTCGTCTTACGTGCATTCCCCTGGGACCGCGCAGCCGCCATGTAACAGGTTGCAGCCTTGCTTGCAGATCGCTGAGAAAGAAAAAGAGACAAAGAGAAACCTTATCAGAGGCGATTCCATTGGGAGACGTCGTGTATCATTACATTTCTTATAAAGCGCTTCAAACTGGGCCAGAAAACAGGAGGGGACATAAGAAGGGGAGGTAATGAATCAGAGAGGTGGGAGGAGAAGCAGCTCGTTTGTTTGTAATCTGTCTAACAAGTGCAACAAGACGTGAGAATTCATGGCATGGGGGCATGGGGGGGGGGTAGGTTTAGAACGGGACGACTTTATAGCCTGCATGCTCTTAAAAACCAGCCAGCCCCTCTCCTCTCCTCTCCCCCCTTCTCGTTTCACCCTTCGTCTTGTAAGGTCAGTTTGGGTGATTTATTGAGGGCCCACCACTCTCTCTGCCACCACCCACAAGCACGACCCCGGCACATTGCTACATGTTAGCATGAGCATTAGCATGTCACACATTCTCACGTTACCTTTAAGTTGTTTAGTGGTTATTCTTAAATCATGTGCACTATTTGTGTCTGGATATGATGCTCATGTATGTGAGTGTGTATACCTGAATGTTCTGTATATATGGATGTGTGCATGTATGTTTCTGTACAGGTTTGTATCAATGTAAAGCTGTCCACATTTATTTTGCACTTTGTAACGTGCTAAATAAACATACAGAATATTGTTTTTAATTCTACTGATGCAATTCACAAAGTCAGATTTATAAACCTGCAACAACTCAGGGCAAACCAAAAAAAAACCCAAAAGGCTCAAAAGTTTCAGCTCGACAGTCAAGACCAGTGGTTCTCAACAGATGGGTTGGGACCCAAAAGTGGGTCGTGGATCTGTTTTCAATGGGTCACGAATGTGTGCCTGGAAGTGTCTTTGAAGGGCTTTTAAAACATGTGGGTTTTTTTTCTGTCTCTTTGTTCTGTTACATGTTTTGTGTTGTTGAGGTCAAAACTGCATTTTTTTCTCAGTGAATTCATCTCATTTGAGAAATATAAGAAATGTGAGTCGCTATTTCTTATCAAGATTGAGAACAACTTGTCAATGCTTGAACTTGTTTGGATTGCATTTCTATGAATAGCCTGACCGTTGATCAATATAATGTGAAAAAAGAAAGAACATTTTATAAAATACTATTTTTAACATTACACATTGATCTTTTCTTTTTGTACCAACAGTCCAAAGCTTAGTTTTAGCTTAGGATTTTTTCCTGTTACTATGGATACCAAGTCTAGGACATCTGTGGAGACGTTTGCCACTCACCTGTCCTGCAGTCTGTGTCCATCCAGCCGTCCAGGCACACCCGGGCCCCTGAAGCCTCACAGCGATAGTGGCCGAAGTAGTCGTCGCGAGGGACACACAGCTTATTGCACTTGCTGCTGTAGTAGTTTACGTCACACCGGACTCTTACTCGATAGATGAGGCGAGCCACCGGCCCGTCGTGCAGGATGGTCTGCCAGGGGTCCCCGGGGTTGATCATACCGGTGTGAGTGCCGCGCTCGATCAGCAGCTCCTGCTCATCTAGGAAATGACAGATGAAGGCCGATCAGTCAAAACAAAAGCTTTAAATATATCGATACAAAGAGAATAGTGAAAATACTTCACAGAGCTTCATTTATTGTATGGGCATAACTTTATTGGTACGGTTCATTCTCGCTACACTCATAGCATCGTTTTCAGAAGAATATTTCCAAACAATGAGCTCTTTAAAAAAAAAAAAAACTGACTGCTCAGCACCAGAAAGCCGAAGGATGGAGGATGGAGACCCAAACTAATCAGTATACCGAGTTCTCTTAAACTGCTGGATGCCTAAACAAACAAGTTAACCATTTCAAGTTAAAAGGTGATTATATGAACAAAGTGTGTGTCTACAGTGGAGCTGTACTGGTAGTGATGGTAGTAGTGAAAATAACTCAGATAAAGTGGGATTTTGACCAATCTGACCCCCTTGAAAATGTATCTTGTCAATTCTTCTGAGCCGTTTACAAACATTTGCCAACTCAGCATGTTGCACTGTGCTGAAACCCGAGACGATCCAGATCTTTGCTGCTAACATGGATGTATTGTGGCTGCCACAAGCAACGTCTGTATTAGAGCTGCATGAATGATTTCAGGTCATTTGTTGATGATCGAAAACTGTGACAGTGGTATGTTAGCGGAGATTAATGTAAGTCTAAATGTGAATAATTAAGCGTTAGAATAAGGAGTGTTTCATCAATGCTCTGGCAGACAGAACCCGTTCAGAGGGGCTGTACGTATTTGGCCATGTTTAAGGCTTTTACCAGGCCGTACACTGCAACTAGCAATCTATCAGATCCACACTGGGTTAGTGGTAGGGTCGTCACCATACCAGATTTTTAAACTTAGATATGATACTAGTAAACATCAAACAATATATACCACACCTGATTCTACACCACAGCAACATAGATATAAGCCCCTAGGTACCCAATATTGGATAGAGTCTTAGAATTAAGTACCAAAACATGTAGGCAAACAACTACACTTTCTAAATTGCACAAAGAACCAGAGTGGGATTTTCTGGTACAGCTTGACAAACTAGCAAGGTGCATGAAGAGTGAAAGGCTTGGAGAGGTCAAAAAGCTCCAGCAACACTTGTAGTATGAAGATCAACTTTATTAAATAGAATTAGACCTCATCAATTCTACAATTCACTTAGCAGACGCTTTTATCCAAAGCGACGTACATCAAAGAGTAAGTACAACACAAGCAAGGATCTAGAAAAAAGGGAACAATGTCAGTAAGAGCAAACGATCAGCTTTGAGTCTGATTGGACACACAGGTGCTGACAGGAAGTGACCAGAGGCAAAGCACAACATTGAGGGCAGTTCTTGAGAGCTCTAATCAGTATAGAAACCATCTTATAAGTCATCGTTATCAAACAAAAACCATCGTCATTACCATCATCATCATCAATAATATGGAGACCATCATCATTAAGTTAGTAGGTATTCATGAAAGAGCTGGGTCTTTAGCTTTTTCTTAAAGGTGCAGAGGGACTCTGCAGATCCAATGGAGTTTGGAAGTTCATTCATCAAGCTGAAAGGCATCGGTTCAGAGTTCAGAGAGTTGATCTTCATACTACAAGCTGCTGGAGCTTTATGACCTCTCAAAATTGCACAAGGACGTCGGCAAGGTTTCGGTACAGGAACACACTCAAGGTATTTGTGCGCTTAAGACAGTGCTCACGCTCGAGCCATCAGAAATTCAATGGACATTGTATGGCTTTAAAACATGTGATATCAAAAGGTATCAAAGTATACCAAATTTTGTCAACCCACGTATATAACATTGCTCTTGTACTTCTGCTCTGTCAGAATACATCTTGGAAAATTTCACAAATTTAGGCATCAAATTTAGAAAGGTAAAAAGTCTCCCAACATCTCTTGTTAAAGTCAGCAAAGTGTTACTTGACCTTGGGTTGTCAGTCTCTTTAATCATTCATAAAAGATGAGATAAATCAGAAATCTGGGTTTACTAGCATTCTGACTAAAGACTTTCAAGATGAAAAAGAAATTTATGTTAGAGAACACAGCTCTGCAAGTTAACATTTAGCTTCATGTCTCTTCTCAGAAGCCACTGCATTTGATAAGAGTTTAATATTTACTTATATGGAACATTGACATTGGACAAAAGTCACTCCATAAGAAGAAAAAGCAGTTCATTCATATTCAGCAGACGGACGTTTTGATACCAAACTGTGAGTGTGTGCAAAGTACCGTCAGAATTTTAAGTATGCAATTGATATTCATTGCTTGCAAATTGATCCATTTTCTGGAGATAGCACACATCAGCAGTGCCTCTCGGAGCTCTCTGTATGTGCACCGTCATGTCGAGGAGGTTGCTACCATTTAGCCTCCGGCACGCCAACACTGTCATTAAACAGTGTTCTTCCTCTGTGGGGCTCGCAGCAGCGCCAGCCTCCAGAAAGAAAGCAATCTTTATCACAGTGGGATCGAAGCTGGCAAACAATCTCTGTGGAAATAGGGGGTCTGTGATTTCCTTTGCTCCATGGCTTTGGGCTGTAATGCACTATGGACATGTTGAAGTGAGCAAGCAGGACACACACACACACACACACACACACATCTTCCTCTGCTGGGGACTGACACAATGTCTGACAGAATTAAGCAACAATAACAGAAATAACCCCCGGCCGTTGCCAGATAGAGAACAATGGGCTCCGGGCCCGAGTCGGGGCTCTGCTACATCGGTGTCTAAACAGTGAGCCGGGCCGCCCAGTCCACTCCACTTCCTGCTCGATAAACACAAGGAAAACAGCCGGCCGCCTTTCCTGAGGACACAGGGGGAAGGGACGAGAGGCTCACTGGAGGACGTGACGCTGGAGGAGAGACATCTCACTGACAGACTCACTCACTGGAGGGCTCTTACGTAGGACCAGACAAGAGGCTGCTGCTGCTGAGTCAGGCCAAAGAACAAGATACACTGTCTGACAGGGTTTGCTGTGTCAATTTACAGTATATACACAAGAGTTCCAAGGGCCCCACAAGAGAATAATATCACTCTTTTATTCTTGCTAACTAACCAAGAATACCATACAATCTGTACTCAGCCAGAGAGATAACCAGGAATGATGGGAAAAATCGAATATGTTACCAAAATGTTTGTCTTTGGGTTTTTTCACTACTGTGCGTTACATTCACCCATTCATACCACACACACACACACTGATGACAGAGGACACTATGTATAGGGATCTTAAGTAGCAGTGGCTTGGACACCATGTTCTGTCAACTCTGAGTTTCAAAGAAAGGGAATTTATCATAATTTAATTGTTTCTTTGTTCCCAAAGAGAAGTAAAGCCAACCAATGGTGACAATGTCCTCATGTTGTAGAAAGAAATGGGGATTGATGATTAAAGCCATTGTAATGCAACTTCCCTACAAGCCTCAGTTCTGTGAAACCCACACACTCAAACACACCAACACACACACACACACTGATGATGCAAAGTAGTTAAAGGTTCAATACATTTCCAAGGACACTTTGACATATCCAAGGGCTTTGTCCTTTGTAACAGCAACAGCTGCGATCAAACCGCCAACCCTCCAATTGAAACACGACCAGCTCTACCACTGAGCTACAATCGCCTCCAACCGACTATTGAATTCAATTTACAAAATTAATAGCAGAGGCACGATAACACAATTCGCATCTAGAAAAACGCTGCCCGAAAAGTTAAGAAACAACCTGATGCAAACCTTACGTCTGCCTGGAACGTCGATCTAGCAGTTTTTAAAAGTGGTTATGAGAGCAAAGTGTGCGGCCCTACAGAAAAAACTGTCAAAAGCTTTTAAAAGTCTAAGACCAGACTGAGAAACACATGTATGTTTTTGACAAAGACCTCAATGTTCAAAGCACCAGGATGCGACAGGATCTGAGCATGCAGATTCCTGTTTTGTCTCGAGTTTGACCAGAGGAAGTTGTTGGTTGAGTGTCGTCACTGCTACTGGATAACCACTTAAAAAGTTCAGTGAGCGCTATGGCTGAAGATAATATGGATGAAGAAAAGCGGCAAGTAATAATTATGCACATTTTTTTGTTCCTAATTCCAAGCCCGTCTTCTTTTCTGAGCTAAAAAAAAAAGCAATGACAATGACAAGTCAGCCGTTATTATGCACAAAGCAAAGATTATCCAAACTGTTATATGCAAGTTTAATTTTTGCAACATCACAACTTCAATCTGTGGATGTGTTTCCATATGCCATTAAACACATCCAAATTTTTTAAACAGGTAAAGCCAAGCAGAAGTAAAAGTAGCATTCAAATGCATGTGTCCAATTTGACCATTTCAATACATCTGGTACTTGAGAATGTCAATACAAATCCTGCGTAGCTTCTGAAACTAGATCCATCTTAAACTAAAAACCTTGTTAACTCATGAGACTGAATGTTTGCTTGACAAGACCAGCAACAAGGTGCATTTGCATTACATTTACAGTATATATTTGACATTCTTTTTGCATCACAAAATTTAAAACTGAAGAACTGATTTCAACATGTTTATGGATCGATGCATCTGTCACATGTAACATTACTCTTGAACACAACTTAATGCATCGTCTGCCCATCTTCTCCAAAAGTCTACACTCTGTGCTTTATTCCCCTCACTGGATCCTCAAAGAGGCTTCACACTACGAGCAGACTCCCCTTGTGATCTCCCACACGAGGCTGAAAGGAGAATTTGTTCCTAACGTTTGGGTTTTCTTGAACACATGACATTGAAGTTCGAGTCAGATGATGTGTGTTACCTTACGGCAGACTCTGCGCCCTTTGAACAAAAAAAAAAGAATCTAACCTGCATGAGCTCCTCTTATCTGGAATGTCATGAAATTCCTTCTACACTACAGGATGTGTTTGGCTGCTTTTAAACAAGTTGGCTGAGACTTTAGTGCTACAACGTGGCAGAAAATCAATTAAGACAGATTCTCCAGCAGCTCTCAGGCCTTCCAACCATCAGAGAGCTCTGATCTAATCACTATAAATGTACACAACGTGCAGAAACAGAGGCTTCACAGGGTATGCAACAGTCTAATCAAAGAGCCGTGATGTCAAAATCTATTTCTTCCCCATTGTCTGCATTCAGAAGTGGAAGTGCGTTTGATGTTATGGACAAAACAGGATGTAATGACCTCATATAAATGAAGAACAAGCTTGGACTGGACAGGCTAAAGTGGACCAGCATATACATGCCTTCATGTACATGTTTGAATGCACAGAGAGGTATTGTATAGACTCGTGAAATATGCCTCCGCCACCTCCGCAGATCAAAGCTCCGTCCACACTTTCAGACATTACAGACCTGAAAGGGTCCTCTTCCGCCCAGACTGAGCTACTGCTCAGACGGGAAAGAGGGGTTGTACAGGAGTCCAACAGCGGACATAAGCAAGGAAAACAGGAAACAGCTGGTCACAACTGGCCGCCACAGCCAGCATAGCTAAGGAGACCCAAAGCTTATGTTCTATATGAAGCATCTTTACAGGGCAGCATGCTTTCAACCATCTACCTGTACATGTAGTGTGTAAGCAGAGATGTAACCCAGTTCACAGTTCTGACGTAAAAATGATGAAGGAGAGTCTGAGTTAATGTATTGAACTAATGACCTATAGAGTTGTAGCTAACAGCTAAGATCGTTAGCAAATAATGTTTGGGCAAAATGTCAAAAAGAAATGGCAATCAGAACGTGAAATCAAAATAAATATAGTCCCCCCCTTCCATTTAACTAAAAAGCCAGCTTATTTTTACATTTCAGAAGCAGCCGTCAGACATTTTTGGATTTCTTAGCTAAAAATGACAACGATTGATAATTGTTCCTCATTAATCTTTCTATGGATGTAATCAATTAATCGCCTCATCAATCTGCGTGTCAAAATGAAGCTCTGTCTTATACAAAAGACTGACAATGAAATGACTTATCTAGGCTCTATTTATTTATGCCTTGGCAAACCTTAAACAGTCGTACTGCCAACCAAGGCGTTTGGATTTAGCTCAAATTCTTTGTCCAAGGCTTTAGCCCTCAACGTTGTGGTCCCGGGTCTGATTTCCACCCTCAAACATTTACCGCATGTCATCCCCATTTCAGACTCTATCCACTGTTCTGTCCTTGATATTAAGACACAAAAAGCACCCAAAACTGCCAACTACATCCCAACTTTATGCTACTGCTTTGTCTTCTTAACTGGGGTTAAAGGTGTGTTAAAATGTAAGACTTACTGTTTTTTGTGCCGTTGTCCCAGTCGAAGGCGTCTACGATCACTGTGTACGTCCGCTGGAGGGAAGAGGGAAACAGAATTAAGTCAAGTTCAGTTTGGAGTAAACACAATCTATTTTATCTGGTCTCTCTCAAATGTGTTTCCTCAAGACAAGGTGCAAGAGTTTGCAGAACGTTTGACACGAGCCCAGTACCATGGGTTCATTTGAATCATTAAGTATGCAGCTTCAGTGACCCCTAATCCATAGATGACACAGGACAAACAGCTGTGTCCTGTGAAAACGCTTTCACTTCGCTTTCCAAGAGCAAACTTCTCCCTCAAAGACTAAGGGGAACACAACTCCTGAAAATGCCCCAAAATCATAAGGGTGAGCTGCATCTTTCATCCCAACTTTATTCAGAATTCTTCTTGCCAGTTCCTCATAGAATTTCAGAATTCAGGACAATTTACCGCAAATGAGTGGGCAGAGGTGATGACATTTAAAATCAAGCTTTGTGCATACAATGAAGCTGCTGCAAACTATTTTCTGATCACCTGCAGGTTCCTTTAACGCGATCAGTGTGAATACATACTGGCTGTACAGACAGTTTCTAGACATTTTTAGGAGAGCATCCGTGATAAGAGCTCTACATACCAGCCTTTCCACTTCAAACAATAAGGACATTACAATGCAAAAGAAACTCAATATGTACTGTATTTAATTGACATATTTCACTGAACCAAATGTGAAATAATATATACACCTATGACAAGCTATAAGCAACCAAAGACGGTTAAAGTTTGTTTTTAGTTCACGTTTTCTTCTTTTAAATGTTTTTTTAATAAATTCTAAATCATCGTTCCTAAGAGCAAAAGATGATGTCAACTCTGAGTTACAAAGAAAGGGAACTTAACACAAAGTCATTGTTTCTTTGTTCCCAAAGAGAAGTAAAGGCAACCAATGGTGACAATGTCCTCATATTGTTAAGAAATGGGGATGATGATTAATGCCATTGTAATGCAACTCTCCTACAAGCCTCAGTTCTATGAAGCCCACACACTCAAACACACCAACACACCAACACACCAACACACAAACACACACTCTGATGATGTAAAAATCGATTTCTTTGCTACTGCAGAGTCTCGTACGAAACGTGGCCTGGTTACTGGCAGGTGAGCTTGAGTTACGCTGCCAGTGAAACCCAATGATTCAGAGACGAGGAGAGCCAGATACGGTAAAGTACAACTATGGGAAGAAGCCAAGAGGGGATGTGGAGAGAGAGAGGCAAGAGGACAGCAAACAGCCTGAGCTGTACCAAACTCTCCTCTAAAACATCTACATATCCTGAGGCAAGCTAATGTTAGTGATCTGGCTAGATGGACTGTTGCTTTGGCATGTGTGTGTTATCAGAAATATTAATAGGATTTCGATAACAGCAGCATAACAATTCCATTCAGTCTTAGAGCTACAGGAACTTCTACAGGGGTTTATCTTAAAATTATAGAAAAATCTAAATTATTTGCAATGATAGCAAATATCTGAGCATTTAGCTCAGCTGATATTAGTTAAGGTTAACAAACTCCCACACACACAGATGCAAACTAACCATGCTAACCAGCAGCACTAGAGTAATCTAGCTGGTGTGCTGCAGGGCACACTGCTAGGCAACCAGCTGACCTAAATAGCACACATTACGTCACTACTAGTGACAGTTGTAGTAGCCACAATGTGACTGCTTTGACCTCTACTGTAATGTCATTGACAGCACGTTTACAATGTGGGGGGTCCAAAAAAGAAATGGCATAAGGCAAGTATCTGGAGGGACTTCGGTTGATTCAATGACACGGAAAAGAGAAGTCACAGGGAGGGGGATTGGAAAATGTGTGTGTGTGTGTGTGTGTGTGTGTGACAGTCTGTGTTGTTGATCTGGGGGACCAACAAGCTGGTAGGCTGGTTGATGCTGGGCTGTGGGATTAAGTAAGCTTGTCTGGCTGTGGGTGGCGGTGGGAGGAAGGGGAGGGGAGTGTTATTGTGGAAGACCACGGATGACAAGAGAAGGGGATGGAAGATGACGGGACAGGGGTGAGCTAAAGGGCTTGGATCACATTTTGAACATGGGGGGTACAGCTGTTTGAGACTGTAGCTACTGGTTAGACATCAGAGGCTTGGCTGGGGCTGAACAAGGAAAAAGGGATAGGAAGGGGAAAAGGAGTGAGTCTAGGGTGTTTCTGGAGAAGGGTAATGCTCGTGCTGCTGTTGCCGGAAGCTTGACCAACCCCGTCCAACCGCAGACGCACAACAGATGCAGACTCGAGGATGGATTATTTGACATGAACGTGGATCATCCCATGACATGTCGCTCGGCTTCTGACCTTTACACCCATTGCCCCTCCCCCCCCCACCACAAAAGGGTGGGCTATCTGCCCCAGTCTGAGCATGTGGGTGGGTGTATGCATATGCCAATGCATACAAGAGGAACCGTGAGTGGTAGTGAATGCATTAGTTGCAGGAGTTAGTGTTGCTGTGGTTCCTCTTGTATTGTGAGAGTGACAAGTGTTGCAGGAAAACCGTTTAGTAAGTATCATCAGCGAAAGAACAGGTGCCCATATTGTGACCTTCACCTTTTGGGTTCACCTAATATACAGGGGCTTGCTTGCATGCCAGCATGTTGTAAACATTTGGCTAAATAGATCCCTGAGTCAGTCTATGTTGGGGTCAAGCAAAGCCATGGACTAGTCTGGTTTCCCACAGACCATCCCAGTCTGTGATTAGCTGGATTAAGTGACAGCTGCCCAAATGGTTGGAACAAGATAGATGGATGGGCAGGGGGATAAAGGGGAGGAGTGGGGGGAGGGAAGGGGGGATGGCTACTGAACAAAGACCCTTGTCCCAACACCATAATTCAACCCCATCCCAATCAAAACCATTGTCAGTGAAGAGACACAGTCAGCACGAGAACAATTAGTGTCAGCATGTGTTCCACTGAGCCTGGCCAGGACAGTAGCATGGGCAAAGTAAAAAAAAAAAGTTGCCAATGGTTCTTAAATCAGTCATAGCATTGTATCCCACTGTGCTACAATTTAAAGAATATGCTAATTTCATTAATCTGCTCCCCTTTTTTCTCTCAACTCAAAACATTCATCACCTAAATGTGACAGCGTGAAACACTTCTTCTGAAACTGCGAAGAATCCTCTGTCAGTCAAATCTCCAAAACCCCTTGGCAGCCCTTCCCCTAATGGATTAGAGGATTTACTCTGAGAAATCCTGGTTTTCAAGTCATGAAGGAGGGGCAAGGCGAAACAAAATTGGATGTTTGTGTGTCATGCACTGAGTGAACCTGTGTTTGCTCAGAATGACCTAATAAATCAAGTTGGATCTCAACAACTCACAGAGCAAAATGAACCAAAAGTCATCTACTCATTGAATTCAGGTAGAGTCCTCTGAGTCATTGCAAAAAGCCCATTTTGAGTTAATGCGGAAGATGCCGAGGTATTGTCTGGGGAAAGCCACAGGTGTAGGTTCCCACGCCAGATGAGTCGTGGATGGATGATTGGATGGTGGCCAGTGAAATAAAAAGACACAAGGGACAGAGAGAGGTGGCAGTGGGAAGTGGAAGCTGGGGCAAGTTGGGGTCAGTAAGCATGGGATCTGCACACTTCTTCCTCAAAAGAGGGGTCAGCGCTCTGCATGTGGGGCGATGTGCCTGTTTGCATTCGAAGAATACTAAGAATGTGAGATCCAGGCCTGCTGTGTAATCCCAGGCAAGATCCTGGTCTCCCAACAATTCAGGGGTGTGTCTGCATTGGAGAGGAGGTTTGATTGACTCCTTTCTGTCATTTGGGGAAAGTCCAGACTTTGATTGTTGATTGAGCTTTGAGAGGTATTCTTGATGCAGTAACTATACAATTCACAGATAAGCACCATCCATAAAAACCCTGTCTGCAACCTTGAGCTATTTCTGCTCCCGTGTCATTGAAAGGTGACCTGAAAGTCCACCTCTCTGTTCCCAGCTCTTCCTCGTGGGAGTTCCACTGACATCTCCTGATTTATTGCCTTCTGATGGGACATGAGGTCATCACGATTCATCCCGTGGCCAGTAATCGCTGCATGTAATCTTCATTAATCTGTGATGTCAATCCCAGCTTTTGGTTTTACTAGGGCTGAGTCTACACTATTCCAGCAAGGGCATCGAGCTACACCATTTCTGCTGAATAGCAAGGACAGTTGGAACAACAGCATGTGATGCATCTTCTACCTTTTTTGGACACTGATCTTTGGAATTACCAGAAAAATATGGATGATTAGCAGTGTTACTCCATCACTTTTAAAAGGACATAAAAGGAGAATATCTGTGCATGTATAAGAAATAGAATAATGAAAGACAGGCCAATAAAATGTTAGCATATTTTATTGCGTTAATTTGATAACAGTAACTTGAGGCATATCATTTGGTTTCACTGGCTCCTCTTGAAAGTGATGCATTTATGCAACATGGTACAGGCTGGATATTCAAAGTCTACACAGCCTGGGGCACAACCTAAGATGTTCAAAATGAAAGATGAACGTTTAAATGTGAGCTACACCATCATCCCATCACTTCCACCTGGAGGGTGGACTCAAATGCAAATCTGTGTCCATCAAGCTACTCAATCTGTTCAGAGGCAAAGATCAAAGACCACCAGTGGCAAAATCCATACAAATGGGGAGATGATGTTGGCAGGCAGGAAAGTACACCCTGCAAGGTTTCGACCCTTTTGACATACAACACCAAACATTTATTTTTCCTGGATTCTTGATACCTTAGCAATGTTGTATAGAATTAAACCTTATTCATATCCAATTCCCCCATTCTGGTATAAAAGCAAGAACCTTATCTGAACAAAAATGTACTATGAGATGAGCAGTTCCATCTGCCAGATCTGGCAGGGGAATTGGAGCATTGTGTTTTTACATTCAACTGTTTCCTCTAGATTACTGTATCATTGGGTTTGAGCTGAAGTTCAACTCACTAACGAAGAAGGCCCATCGAAACATCTAGCACACTGGGTAACACTAAATCTGATTTTCATTAG